TATATATATATATACACACACACGTAAATATACATATATACATATATATATGAAGGTAAGCTATCCTTAGCTGACAATAGTAATAGAACTAGAAATTAATATAAAACTTTATAAACAATTCACAGAAGTTCCAACCCTGGAGATACTTTATATTAGCAACATGCTCTTTATGAAAAAGAGACTACTGTATGTTTAGCCAAACAAGAGGATAGAGCAAAACTGTGCTCAGAGTTAATTAATGGCCTCAATGCTTTTTATTTATTTTTATTGACTGATTGATTGCACACATAAATTATTGTGTTCTAGTTGAAAACAATTCAAATAACACAGTTAGATCCCTTAGACCATCCTCTGCATTCCTGATCTTTCTGCACAGATAACCATTGTTAATAAATAACTATTGTTCTAGGCCTCTTCTATGCATTTATTAACATATATGCATAAATGAGTATTGGTTTGTGTTTTTTAATAGTTTATTTTACCAGACCTTTGGTTCTGCAGCTTGGTTTTTTACTCAGTGTTTTATAAATCTCTTCATGTCATTCCATATAGGTCTGTTAGATTCTACATGATTCTTTATGTATGAATATACAGTATTTTATTTGTTAAATTTTGGGCATTTAAGTTGGTTTTCCCTTATTTTCTAATTTTCCCTTAATATAAACTATGTGTCAGAATATTTTTGTATATTTGCTCCCTTGTACAATTGTATAAGTACTTCTCAAGAGTAGAATCTAATATGTGAAAGTACTGGGTCATCATTATTTTAAATTTTAATAGATACTATCACAATAAAACTCCAATGTAGTTTTACCAATTCCTACTCCCAACAATGTTTGAGAGTTCCTATTTTCTTCATTTTCATCAATGCTTATTATTATCATCAGTACTTGAAAATATTTGATAGTCAACATTATACATCTCTGCCAGGCTGAATTTCCCTATTACTAGTTAGTACTAGGTTGAGCATCTTTTCATATGATCACTAAATTCTTTAAAATGTTTGAGAGAGAGAGAGACAGAGAGAGAGAGAGAGAGAGAGAATGAACTAGTGAGGGAGGGGCAGAGAGAGGGGGGAACATAGGATCCAAAGCAAGCTCCACACTTACCCCAGAGAGCCCAATATAGGGCTCGAACTCACAAACGGTGAGATCCTGACCTGAGCTGAAGTCGAACGCTTAACTGACTGAGTCACCCAGATGCCCCCGAAAACATTTTAATTACACAGTTATACTGACACATTTTCCTTTTAAAAATCAAATGTCTCTCTGCCCCTCCCCTGTTCATGCTCTGTCTCTCTCTGTCCCAAAAATAAATAAACGTTCAAAAAAAAAAAATTAAAAAAAAAATAAAAATCAAATGTCAGAGATAAAGCTACTTCTGTTTGAGCACTGGCCTAAATCTGGGACTCCTTTCTGCCCTTCCTCAGAAGATATTCTGGTTATAAATTTTATGTATCTCCTGTCAGAATTTCTACTATGCTATTACCTGTAAATATATGTAACTATAGAAATTACATAGTATCATTCAGTCTTTTGTTTTATTTGCATCAATGGTATTATGTGTCCTTCTGCAACTTGTCGTATTCACTTGGAAATCTATGCTCTATGTTCTTATGTACCAAACGAGCTCAGTATTTCTCAGTCTTGGTATTTGGGCAGCAGTTCTTTTTTGTGCTCCCTGAATTGCAGGACAGTCCACGTCTCTGGCTCCTCATTCACTAAATTCCAGTAGCGTCCTGTAGTCCTTATGGTACCAAAAGGTAAACCTTACCTATTGCTGAATGCCTCCTATGAGGTGGTACCCCATCTAGCATTCAAACTGCACCTTTTAATATTGCTTAGTATTCTGTATGGTGTAATTTCACTTACATTGATGATGAACATTTAAGTTATTTCCAGTTTGTTGAATGATCTGTGGCAATTCAGGGACCTTCTTGCACAGGTAAAGAGGCAGTATTGCAAAGCAGTTCAGAGCATGGCCTGTGAAGTCAGATCACATGGGTTAGATCCAGGCTCTGCTACTATGTAGTGATGAGTCATTAGGTAAGTCTCTTACTGTCTCTAGGCCTCAGTGTCTTCATCTTAACAATGGAGGGTAATCTTAGTACCTACCTCATAAGATTTGTTGGAAGGATTAAATGAATTAATGTAAAGTAATTGAAACAGTGCCTCACATCACAATCAGTGCTTTACAAATATTTGCTATTATTATATTATTAGTATACACATTGAGTACATGTAAGGATTGCTAAATCATTAAGATGTAAGTTTTTATTTTAAAGTCTATCAAAATAGAATAGAACTTAAATGCCTAAGAAGAGGGAAAGGATAAAACTCTTACAGGCACGTATAGAAAGAGTATTGTGTAGCCATTTAAAAACAATGTTTCTGAATAAACTTTAATGACACAAGAAAACAAATAAGATATAAGTGAATAAAGCAGGTGCAAATCTGTATATGTGATCGTAATTATGTAAAAAGAATGGTATAAACAAAGTGGACTGGACGGGAATATACAAATGGTTATCTCTAGTTTGTGAGTGTATAATGCTTTTTATTTTCTTCTTTATACTTTTATAGATTTTCCAAATTTTCTTAAGCATGTATTACTTTTCTAATCAGAAAAAAAACAGATAACCCTGCTTCCTGGTATGAAAATTAAGTATAATTCTAATATACACTGTACTTTGTGATCTGCTTTTTTTGCACTTAGCAACACAAAATGTATTTTTGAATAAGCAAATTAACTGATAAGAGCCAGAAAAATCAAGGCGGAAGATTTTAAGCTAATATTGCTGAATATCATTTTTATTTTACTATTTTTGTTCTTAAAGTTCTTGCACTACAGTTACTTAAAATCTACCAAAATGTAAAGACAAGTGACCAAAACATGTGTCCTCATTTCTGGTCGTTTCTCTTGGTAGTGCCCCAGCAGTCAGTGACTACTCTAGAATTGCTTTGGGTCCTAAACGGGGTCCGACTGTTACTGAAAAGGAGGTGCTGACATGCATCCTCTGCCAAGAAGAACAAGAGGTGAAAATAGAAAATAATGCCATGGTATTATCGGCCTGTGTCCAGAAATCCACCGCCTTAACCCAGCACAGGGGAAAACCCATAGAACTCTCAGGGGGTATGTATTGTTTAATAAATATCCTTTTGAGCATTTCTTTTCATACTTATATAATGAGAAAAAAATATTGGAAGAAGTTTGGGAGTGAGACTATATTTAGCCTTATTTAGTCAGATCATATTTTACCCATATGTAGAATGGTCTCTAGATATTTACATACCATGTTGGCTCCTTTGTTTTATTTTTTAATTTTAATTTTTGTTACACTTGGCCACATTGCTCAGTCTCTGTCTCTATCTGCCTATCTACCCCCATTTTTCTATGCTGAACCTTTTGAAAGTAGGATGCAGGCATATACATTTCATCCCTAAATATTTACACATGCGTGTTCTAAAACTAAGGATAGTCTATTATATGTCTGTCATACCATTATAACATTCAAGAAAATGAATAATAATTCAGGAATATTACCTAATATAGAATCCACATTTGGATGTTCCCAAACTGTCCTCAACTAGACGTTTTTAGCTAGACTTTTTTTTTTTTTTTCTCATTTAGGGTCTAGACATATTTCGTGCCTTGCTTTTATTATGTCCTTTTAAATCTATATTAATCTAGAATAGTCACTTGTTGTTTTTTTTCCATGGTAATAACTTCTTAGAAGAATGTAGACCAGTTGTTTTGTACATGTCTTACATTGTGGATCTGTCTATTGCCTCAAAATTAGGTTCATGTTAAGTATTTTCTTGGCAGGAATACTAATTAAATAATGTATTTTTTTTATGTCACATCAGAGCTACTGCTTTATAAAATACCCTTGGGATAATAATGATGATGATAAAAAAGGCTAACATTAACTGAATACTTACTGTATGCCAGGCACTGATTAAGTGCTTTATGTGTATTTACTCGCTTAATCCGCACAGCAACCCAATGAGTTTGGTACCTATATTGGCTCCATTTACAGATGAAGGAACTGAGGCACGGAGAAGTTAAATAACTTACCCAAGGCCACAAGTTATATGTAACGAAACCAGATTTTTAACCACTATGTCTTTGCTTTTATCCATATTATAATGCCCTAAGTATACCTTAGAAAGTAATTCAAATTACTCTTAAAATTAGAAGAGCAAATTGTGCTTGAATCATAGAAAAATCACTTCAACAACCAAGATAAGGCAACTTAAACCTAATGTTCAGAATAAAAAATACAAATCAAAAATAGAAGTTGTCATTAATTCACACTAATTTTAAATCCTACCTGGAAGTCTAGCTTTATATTTTTCTCCTTTTGCTTACTACTAAGAATATATATCCTGTTACCATGATACTGTGACAGTTTACTTGGACATTCCTAAGAAGGTTCATGATTAGAATTTTAGACCTTGATAATCTCTTTTTTTTTCCCCCCATTTTATAACCATGGGGGGAGATGAATACATGCCTCCTATTTTTGTCTTCCTGTACCAGAAACCCTGGACCCGCTCTTCATGGATCCAGACTTGGCATATGGAACTTACACAGGAAGCTGTGGTCATGTGATGCATGCGGTGTGCTGGCAGAAGTAAGTTGTCCTTCTGACATGTTCTTGAAAGAAACTAGGAATACTGAAGTTCATTAAAGGCCACAAAAAGGCATGTTTTCTCATGTCTTCTTTCCTTCCTTATCTGAATAATTGAAGCAGTTTTAATTACTAATTTTGTTTGCATGATATTCATTATCTTATCACCTTCAGAAATGGATGTAATAGGGGCGCCTGGGTGGCTTAGTCGGTTAAGCGGCCGACTTCAGCTCAGGTCATAATCTCAACATTTGTGAGTTCGAGCCCCGTGTCAGGCTCTGTGCTGACAGCTCAGAGCCTGGAGCCTGCTTCGGATTCTGTGTTTCCTCCTCTCTCTGTGCCCCTCCCATGCTCATGCTCTGTCTCTCTGTCTCTTAATAATAAATAAACGTTAAAAAAAAAAAAAAGAAATGGATGTAATAAACTATCAACTTAAAATTTTCACTACTCCTTTGTACTTCCTTTCCACGAGCTAGTTGGTTGCTCTTGATCAGTATTTGTGTAAAAGAAAGCTATAATCTTTCTTAAAAAATCTCATTTCCCATGGGGTGCCTGGGTGGCTCAGTCAGTTAAGTGTCTGACGTAGCTCAGGTCATGATCTCACGGTTCGTGGGTTCGAGCCCTGCATCTGGCCCTGTGCTGACAGCTCAGAGCCTGGAGCCTGCTTCAGATTCTGTGTCTCCCTCTCTCTCCCTCTCCCCCACTCATGCTCTGTCTCTCTCAGGAATAAATAAACATTAAAAAAAAAAAAATCTCATTTCCCTGATAATGTAGAGTGAAAAGTACCTTTGAGATAGAATAAGACAGGAAATTCTAGTTCCACCTTTGGAAGAGAAAAATTCAGAAATATAATTCCTGGGAAATCTTTTGTATAGGATTCATTCTTTTGGCATTGGGTTAGAGTACATAATCTTCCTGAATAGCCTTTACAACATCAGCTGGCCATTGGAAACTGAAGGAAGTAGTGTCTGCATTTTATCTCCATGCTGCTGAGTTAGGAGCCAAGTTATGATTCAGTAAAATTATTTTAAGTTTGTTTCTGCCCTGATGTGTCTTGTTTGCCCCCAAAAGAATGGGCATCCTATTTCTTGTATAATTGCAACTTTGGTATTTGGGCATGTAGATTCTAAAGACATTTATTAAAGCAAAAATTCCAGACTTTTGTCACTTGGATTAGAGTGAAGATACATGTATCATTCTGAAGGGACCCATGTCTTAAAATTTTGCAGGTATTTTGAAGCTGTACAACTGAGCTCTCAGCAGCGCATTCATGTTGACCTTTTCGACTTAGAGAGTGGAGAATATCTTTGCCCACTTTGCAAGTCTCTGTGCAATACTGTGATCCCCATTATTCCTTTGCAACCTCAAAGGATAAACAGGTATGTTTTAATTCATGTTTGGGTTGAATTTTTAAAAGCTATATTTAATCCTTTCGTTTGTGCCTGTTTTGATTAGATCGCTAGTTTCTTTTGTTGTTTGAAGTAATTAATACTTTTTCTTTCCATAAGCTGTATTCTGTCTTTAAAATATGATGAAAAGCTCCAATTTTTGCTTTCTAAAATAACTGGAATGTTCATTAACTCAAATCTGTATGTTGTGTGTGTATCTTCTAACAGCCATGAAAACAGTACAACATGAATCTCTACCTTAGCATTCACAAAAAGGGAAAAGATGCTGAGAAGATTTATCCTTTCAAATAGTACTTTTTACACCATTAGAGTTAATGTTTGAAATTTGGTTTCTCTAAATGTCTTTGTATTATTATTTCTAATTCTGTTTTTTTTTCCCTGAAGAGCCAATCGCCATAGTTGTAAAGATGTGGACAAAATGTTAACAATAAAAGTAAAGAAAAACAGTAGATTAATCATATATCTTTGAATAATTTCTAAATTTTTAGACCAACTTTTTAAACTTTTCTATTCTGACCATCTGTGAATGGAACTCAGTAGCAAATTTATTCATTTTTTATGATAGCTATAGCATATAATTGTATATTTCTGTGTTGTCACTGTTGTACCTAATAACCGTATTCTTCATTGTTGTTCATTTTCTTAAAACTCAGTGAATTTGTAATGATTGACCTAAGTTTTGCTATAGAAAATAATTTCGTTGATAAAAACACTTAACATGTTTCCACAACAAAAGTGTTCAAAGGTGATAGGCTTGGCAATCAGGGTCAATAAGTTAGTTGCTCTATCTCTACTATTCCTTGTCATTAGAAAACCTGATCTGGGGGTACCTGGCTGGCTCAGTAGGTTGAGCATCCAACTTTTGATTTTGGCTCAGGTCATGATCTCACAGTTCGTGGGATCGAACCCCACGTCTGGGTAGACACTGGCAGCACAGAGCCTGCTTAGGATTCTCTCTCCCTTTCTCTCTGCCCTTCCCCCCACTCACGCTCTGTCTCACTCTGTCTCTCAAGAATAAAATAATAAAAAATTTTAAAAAAGAACGAACACCCTTGAAATAGGAATACCATCAGCATGTTTGAGGCACAGCAGAAAGGCAGCATGCTTGGAATGGAGCAAAGAACAAGATCATAAAAGGGCTTATAAGATTGGAAATTAGAATTTTGTTTTTAGTATTAAAAACACGAAATATTTTATGCGTGTGATGGGAAACCATTGGAGTACTTTGAACAGGGGAGTGATATGATCAGATCTACATTTTAGAAGATCCCCCTGGCTGTTCTGCATTGAATATAGATGATAATGAAGCACTGTTGTGGAAACAGGAAGAACAGTTAATGTATTGAAATAGTTCCAGTGAGGGATGAAGTAACTTGGATTAGGGTAGTAACAATGGAAGTAGAAAAAAGTGCTCAGCTTGGGATATATTTAGAAGGTAAAACCAGCAAGACTAGCTGCTGGCTTCGAATGTGGATTGTGAGAGAATCTGAGAAATCAATGATGACACCCGGTTTTTTATTTGAGTGACTAGAATGGTGATTCCATTTATTGATATTTGTTACTTCTGGGTGATGGGCCTATGAATGGTATCTTACTCCTTGTACTTTTAAAATTCCCTTCCTGGGGCGCCTGGGTGGCGCAGTCGGTTAAGCGTCCGACTTTAGCCAGGTCACGATCTCACGGTCCGTGAGTTCGAGCCCCGCGTCAGGCTCTGGGCTGATGGCTCAGAGCCTGGAGCCTGTTTCCGATTCTGTGTCTCCCTCTCTCTCTGCCCCTCCCCCCTTCATGCTCTGTCTCTCTCTGTCCCAAAAATAAATAAACGTTGAAAAAAAAAAATTTTTTTTTAATTAAAAAAAAATAAAATAAATAAATAAATAAAATAAAATAAAATTCCCCTCCTACCCAAAACTACATTTTTACTTTATTTATTTATTTTATTGAAATATAGTTGACAATGTTACCATAGTTTCAGGTGTCCAGTATAGTGATTCAGTAACTCTGTACTGTGCTGTGCTCACCACAGGTGTAGCTCCCATCAGTCACATACAACATTATTACAATACCATTGTCTATATTCCCTATGCTGTACCTCCATGCCCATAACTTATTCATTCCATAACTAAAAACCTGTATCTCCCTCTCTCCTTCACCCCCTTTTGCCTGTTCCCACACCCCACCCCCCTTTCTGGCAACCATCAATTTGTTCTTTGTATTTATGGGTCTCTTTCTGCGTTGTTTCATTTATTTGGTTTTTTAGATTCCAGATACAAGTGAAATCACATGGTATTTGTCTTTCTCTGACTTCTTCACTTAGCATAATACCCTCTAGTCCCATCTATATTGTCACAAATGGCAAGATCTCATCCTTTTTTATGGCTGAGTATTATCCCATTGTGTGGGATACTACATCTTTATCCATTCATCTCTCAGTGGGCACTTAGGTTGCTTCCATATTGCGGCTGTTGCAAATGATGCTGAAACTACATTTTTAGACGTATGTGCTTCTATGACCTACGTAGTTAATCTGAAGGAGCTTGATGTTTTCATACAGCCAATTATCCATAGAAAGACTCTACAAGTGCAGCTTTTCAGTTTGACTTTGTGCCAATGGCTTAATAATTTTTAAATATCATTTTTCAGTGAGAATGCAGAGGCTCTTGCTCAACTTTTGACGCTGGCACAATGGATACAGACTGTTCTGGCCAGAATATCAGGTTATAATATGAAACACGCTAAAGGTTTGCTCAAAATTATTTTATATTTTGCTGTTTGAGATTTAAGTGTCAGAGTCTTTAATATTTTTCTGAAGTACTTACTGCTCTAAAATATGGTTTGCATATATATAGACAAATATAGATTTGTCGACTATCAGGAACTAAAGGTTTCAAAGCCAAAATTAAGTTTGACTTAAATCACTTAAATAGTTTTCATACTGGCAAGCAATATAGACAGTGATTAATCTGGAGTCACACTGCTTGGAGTTAAATCTTAGATCCATTGCTTACTGTCTCTGTGATCTTGGACAAGTTTTTTAACCTGTTTGTGCCTCAGCTTTCTTATTTGCAGGGTGAGAATAATAATAGCACCTATCTCACTGACTTAAGAATTGAGGTATCTTGTGTAAAGTAGAACAATGCATGGTACATAATAAATACTGTATGAGCATTAGCCATTACTATCACTAATTTTGTTAATATGTTGTCATTAATCTTAATAATAAAAAAACAACATTTTTAAACTGTTACCTCATTTATATATTCTTTACAATTGAGGGATAAGACTAAAAAGTCTAAAGACTCTGAGAAGTAAACAATGGTAGGCAAATGAAGGAGGGAAGTCAAAATTTGAAGAATGGGAGAGGCAATGAGTTTCCTGGGTTTTTTTCCTCCTTTATTACCCAGCTTTGAACTCAGCATAGCCTGAGTCACAGAGCTTTGCAATGGACATGAATAGCAAAAAGTTCAAGAGAGATGCCCTCTTTCTGGCCAGAGGACCAGGAAAAAAAGTCCCTCAGAACTGGAAAGTGTAAAGGGAATTCCTGTTTTGTTTTGTTTTTTTTTTTTTGTTTGTTTTTTCCTCTTCTGACCCTCTCCTGATGCCAGCCCCAGTCAGGGAGCTGGAGCTGCAATGCCGTGGCAGCCACATAGATATGTAAAATCCCAAGAGAAAACCAGTCTCTCTGGCTGGAGGAACTGGAAAAAAAAGGGACCTCTGTGTTCCATAGAATGCAGGGTGAATCCTCATTATTTTTTTTCTGTCTTTGCCTCACAGTTGTATCCCAAGGGTAGCCCCAGTCACCTGAATCTACTTGACAACAGAAGGGACTAAAACTGAGAGAAACATGTCATTATGGCCAGAGGAACTAGGGAAAAGGGTCCCTTGGAGCTAGAGAAATGGGGGACATCCCAGAGAGAAGAGAGCTATAGAAGGGGAATCTCCTATTTTTGAGAACAGCGCAGATCCTAGGCTTGCCTCCAAGCTGCACATGTGCAGAACAGGCCCAGAGAAACAGCAACAGGTTTGAGAATGAAACTGCATTAAAACCATCACTTAAGTCCCAGACTAACACCTGAGTAGTACATGTATAGGCAGACCCAAACAGTCTAGCAAAGGCTCGGAGACTAACATTGGAACCATCATACACAGACAGTGGGACAGAAATTGTTGAAACTAATTGTATTGATTGCCTACTGAAACAAAAAGAAAGGTACATTTTTTCCACAGAATTTTAAGAAGAACCAAAACCTCACAATGTAATATTCAAAATATCTAAGGTACAATCCAAAATTACTCAACATACAGAGAACCAGGAGAATCTGACCAATCTCAAGGGAAAAAAAAAAAAACAAACAATAAGATGCCAATCTTGAGATGTTTTAACATTGAACTTTTTAGACAAAAAAATTAAAGCATCAATAATTAAACATAAGGTAAAGGTGAACACTTTTGAAATGAATGGAAAAAATACGAGTTCTCAGCAGAAAAAAAGTAGAAACTATTAAAAATAAAGAACCAAATGGAGATGATAGAATTGAAAAAATACTATATGAAATAAAAATTAACTGGATGGGCTCACTAGTGGAATGGAGATGGGAAGGATAAGAGTTAGTGGACTTGAAATCTGATCAGTAGAAATTACCCAGTCTGAAGAATAGACAGAAAGTGCTGAAGAAAAAAGAAAAATAGCTTTAGAGATACATGGACCCAATTTTTAAATCCAATATTTATGTCATACAAGTCCTGAAAAGAAAAAAAGATGGTCCAAAAAATAGTTGAAGAACTGATGACTGAAAACCTCCAAAATTTGGTGAAACAAATTTACAGATTTAAGAAGTTCAGTGAAACTCAAAGATAAACTAAAAGAAAAATCACACCCATATAGATAATACCTAAACTGCTGAAAACCAAAGATGAAGGAAAAAAGTCTCAAGAGCAAGCAGGAAAAGACAACTCATTTCACATAGGGGAACAACAATTCTAATTTGATAAGGAAATGGAAAATGGAGCCACAAAGAGGTTGGTATTCACTCAAGGTCTTAGTAATAGGAGCAGAGTTAGGATGCCAATCCAGGCAGCTTGGCTGCAGATCCTTGGCTCTTACTCACTATTGTATGCTGCCTTACTAATAGAATACTATGCATCCATTAAAAATGGAAATATAGAGGGACAGTTACTGATGTGGAAAGACATTTATGATCTGTTGGTGACAAACAAGATACAGAGTACTACTATAGATTTTGTCTTTTTAAAAAGAATCTGTATTTGCAACATTTATATGGAGAATAGAAGAATATCACCCAAATGTTATTTGAGTAGAGAAATTTTGAGTGATAGTTTATTGTCTATTAACATTTTCTAAGTTTTCTAAAATGCTCATATATAATTTTAAACAGCTAGAAAAGTGTGTGTCACACTAAACCCTTGTGATTTTTCATTCTTTTTCCTTTTCATTTATAAGGAGAAAACCCACCAATTCCAGTCTTAGTTGATCAAGGAATGGGTGATTCCACTTTTGAGTTCCATTCCATCCTGAGTTTTGGAATTCAGCCTTCGTAAGTATCCAAGTAGTTAAGAGTAGTTTGTAAATGGCTGTGAAAATAAGGGTGAAGAACAATCCTTCTTCCTTCCTGCCTTATTTGCAAAATTGTTTCTTTATCCCATTTTTATCTTGTTTCTCCCTGGAGTTTTATTTGTATAATAAAATTAAGTGGTTTGAGGTATTAGAGTAATATGTATTAGAGTGAATCCTGCCTGTAATTAACCATTTTTGACCAACAAAAATGCCATTTCTATATAGTCCAACCTACAATAAGAGCAGAATTTAAGAGATTTCAATTAAAGTCCTATCTAACTCTGATTTCTGTAAAGTCTCAGGTCAACCCTCACCCCCATTCATTTTCTTGTTTGTAAAATTGAAACAGTAGCTTCTTATCTTACATCATAAGGTTATTGGAAAAATACTTATGTGAAAACACTTTGAAAAATATAATGTATCCAAATCAGGTATTATTATTATTATCATTATTATTTAATAAATATTTTCTGATGTACACTTTTTTAGTTGTGATTCTTGTTTATATTTTGAATCCTGTTGCTGTTGAAAATACTTGTTACAGGGGCGCTAGGATGGCTCAGTTGGTTAGCGTCCGGCTCTTGATTTCATCTCAGGTCATGATCTCATGGTTCATGAGATCTTGCTAACAGTGCAGAGCCCGGTTGGGATTCTCTGTCTCCCTTTCTGTCTGCCCCTCCCCCACTCACACTCACGCGCTCTCACATGCTCACGTGTGCGCGCTCTCTCTCTCTCTCTCTCTCCCTCTCTCTCAAAATAAATAAACTTAAAAAAACAACATACTTGTTACAAAAGGAAGTTCAGGAAATCAGAACTTATCACTCCCAAGTACATGGTGTATTCATTCTCTCTCTGTCTCACACACACCCTGTTAACACTGAAGTTCCTCTTAGTCCCTTTCCACACATTAAAACTTGTTAGGTCAGATCTGTTTGCTTTGAATTTTATTCCTTCTCTCCAGTCTGTCCTTAATTTGGACCTGGATCCTTTCTGTGATCCTGTACTACATCTTTTATATGAAGTAAAGTTATATGAGCCATTATCATTTTGTAAGAGATATTTTTCTACCTATAAGAGCTACAGTCCCATTTTTTCTTCAGAGGCTCTAATCTCCAATTTGACAAAGAGCATTTTACTTTGTCAAAAGAGTTAAATTGTTGTTTCAGTACCTAAATTGTTAAATTTTTGTTTCTGTACCTTACTCTGTAGGTAACCCCTTTTATTAAATCACTATATAAAATTTTCTTGTTTTACTTTTAGGATAAAATATTCTAATAGCATCAAGGAAATGGTCATTCTCTTTGCTACAACAATTTACAGAATTGGACTAAAAGTACCTCCTGATGAAACGGATCCTCGAGTCCCCATGATGACCTGGAGCACATGTGCTTTCACTGTCCAGGCAATTGGTAATGCCTATGAGAGACTGCTTCGGAGGGTTCATAGAAAAAGAATTAACATTGATTGACCAAAAATGTTTCCTTTTCCCTGATGTCTTAAAATAGTTTGAATTGTTTGAGGACTATTGTGTAGCCTGATGCCATTTAGTCTGAGAATTTTTGTATTGATCCCTTTTTAACTACAGTATTGGTCATATGCAACATAAGCTCAAAATATTTGAAACGTATAGCATGAAGCAAGCTATATTCAAAAGCTGGCAGATTTATAACACTAGGAAAATCAAGGGAAAAAAAGGCAAAGGAACAAGAATCAAGCCAGAAATGGTCAGTAATTTTTGTTTCTTTTACACCTTGAGAGAAAAAAGAAAGGGAAACCAAAGTCACCTAAAACATTATCAGAAAAGGGAAAAGAAGACTGAGGTAGTTGTGAGAGACAGACTAGCAGGCAGGAACTCACCAGGTCATAATGGAAGCCCACTGTCAAATTCTCTGCCAAAATTTAAACTTCTTATAGAAGAATGCAGCAATCAAATCAAAATGTTGTACACCTTAAATTTACACAGTGTAAATTGGGATGGGGGGAAGAAGAGTGTAGTAGTGAAGGATTTCTTAGTTTTTGAAATCAGCATATTTGCTTATTACAGTCATGAGATAGAATACTATCTAAAAAAGAGTAAGAACTGTAATTCTTTTATGTCCTCTTTATCCAAGATGGTTTCAGTCTCCCTTTCCAATATACATTTTTGGTAGTTGCTTCCAATGGAGTATACCATCTTTTCTTCATTTACATATATTTTTGTAACAAGACACCATTTCATGATTTGAATTAAGTAGCGCGAAGCCACAAAACCTTCCTGCACACGAGCTTCAGCCTCCTGAACAGATTTTAGGAGTCACATCCAAACCTGTCAGACTTAAATCATGGATAAAAGATTACAAACAGGTTTATTTTTCCTGTGGTTGAATAAAATGAGAAATAGGAAGAATGAGATTTAAACAGAATAGAATCTGAACAAATCGGTAAGAAATGTAAAGCATTCTTTTGGAGTCATGATCTACTACTAAGTCTCTTGACAGTTTCAGTGAAGATATTTTACACTTTACTATCCTTGGCAAGACAAACATTAGGAATCGGGAGTTTAGATAGTTAACATAAAAAAAGGTCACAGTTTTTGTCAGAAAAGTGATAAGAAGTTCACTGGAGGACTTCCAGTGGTCCAGTGGTTCCTATGTGGTTCTGTAACCTAGGAATTGGGTTTTATTTTATTAATACAGTATTATACTGTTTTCACTTCAGTGCTTTTTCCATCCCAGAACATAGTGCTGTACTTTATTCCTAGTGCATAAGCATCTGACTTACTTCATTCCCTATGGGTGTGGCAAGACATACACAGGACATGTTGGCATAGTTAGGAACTACAGTTGAAGAATCAATATACAGAGTCTTTTATTACTGTCCATTCAAAGATGGAAAAAGAAAATAGGAAGTAAACCTTCCTAACTCATAGGTGTATCTGCTGCCAAAGATCAATGAAAGTAAGAGTAATTTAGCAATAAATGCCCTAGCCAACAAGGCAAAATGTATCTGAATCCGTGGGGTTTTTTGAATTTTCAATTTTTTTTTCCTGTAATGTAATTATTTTTTAAAAGTATGCATAAGAGCAATAGTTACCTGCATTGCCTTATGTATTTTAAAACAAAATACGTTGTGACTGTACATAAAATTACTTGCTGAAAATTTTTTTGCGTAGAAGAGAGGTTAAAAGGACGAAAAATAAACCAGGCTGCTTTGTTTTTCCCAGGTACTCTCTGTAGAGAGCTGCAGGGACTTTATTATGTGTAGTGACAGTTTGCTTCTATAATATCTTCTCACTCAAAAATTTGGAAATTTTGGTGTAGACTTAAACATGAAACTTTGAAGGGGAAAAGTGCAAATCATCTGGTCAAAAATATAATTAAAGAACATCTGATAGAAACCAAGTAAACAATTGTAGCAATATTCAGGATTTATTATTTTTGTTTTTCTTACTCTTTGAGAAAACCTCTTGGGAGATGAAGGAAAACCTCTGTTTGGAGCACTTCAAAATAGACAGGTATGTATATTCCAGCAAGGTATGTGTAACTCATAGTAGGCTTTTTTGGTATAATCTACAGTTAATTTATTAGTCTTTAAAATCATTTTTTTAATTCACTCCTTTTTCTGTAAAAATTAGCGGAATTCTATTTTTTTTTTTCTTTTTTACAAAGCTACCTCAGACTCACAGGAGACAAAATGGCCAGCATTGTGCACTTTAGAGAGCTTACTCAATCTCGGTGGTTAAATGTAATTCATAGATTTCAGATGATACTTTGTCCCTTTTTTCTCCCCTTCTCTGCTTATTGCCAAGTCAGAAATTCATTGTCCCCTACATTTTCCTTCTTCGCTAATTTTGTGCCATCATGTAACATTAAGTACTAATGCTGGCTTAACTCTACATAAATCATCATAGTGAATTCAAGAATAAAACTAAGCCATGGCTCCTTGATGGGCAGATCTTAACACTACAGGACTATACCCATCTCCAGACCTAAGCTCAAGAAATAGCCCCTTGAAAACAGGGTGGGCAACCAAGGATTCCGTAGAGCACCCCTGCTCCTAGCCATTTTCCTCTTATTTTCCCAAGGCACAGGGGACTTTTAATATACAATGTGCTTCCCTACACTTCCTGGCTGCCTGTTTGGAAGGCAGATCTATTCCCTGCATTTAGTGGGGTTTTTCTGGCCATGATTTTAGAATTTTTATAAATTTTTTTGCCCAGGCCTCAGAGTAAATTAATCCAGTAAATTTAAGAAATTGACTCTGGGGAAAATGAGTATCTAAATGAGAATTGAAATAATCATAGCTTTAATATCTCTTGGTCATGGGAAAATCTATTAAAATTTGATAAGTTCATAAAACTTCCTGAAAGTATTAAAAATATAAATATTATACTTTATTTGCAAGAATATAAAGTTTATAATTAGGCTACGACTAATACTTGCAGACTGGGAATGATTTTTATAGTGAATGACTTAGGTCTGTCATCTGCCCTTTTTCTCTTCCCCTCTCTTACAATCTAGCATAATGGTCTGAAAGCATTAATGCAGTTTGCCATTGCACAGAAGATTACGTGTCCTCAGGTCCTGATACAGAAACATCTGATTCGTCTCCTATCAGGTAGACTCTTCTCTGAATATTATTATATGTCTCTTTCCTTTGCATTTCTGGCAGTGTATATCATTTGGAAACAACACACTGAACTAATTTTGAACACTACTATAGCAGCTTTATAAAAGAAAAAACAAAGACATAGATGCCCGTACAATAACTGTAGTCTTATTTTAAAACTCAGGTATTTTCCAAATGTTTTCAAGTTATGTCCCTTGTTCCCACCTAGAGGCTTTATTGAATCAACATCCACAACCACTAACATATTTTTGTCCTCATCTGGTAAGAAAAGGGAGCAATGACATGGAAAGATCATTTAAAAATAGGTTTAACTTTGCTGGTTCAAGGGGATGTTCTTCATCCTCACTGTACTTACACTGCTTTGCATGCTCTCTCTGCTCCCCTCCAAATTGTTCACATATTTAATGTGAATATTTAATATTTAAGTCACAAAAGACTTAGAAATGTATAGTTAGGAGAAAAGTATTATGGAACATTGTATAAAAGTAATTTTTCTTATTCATGGAGCAAATATTTAGTGAACAACCTCTATTTCATTTATGCTCTTTACCTTTTCTTCCTGGATCTTCTCTTTAACACTTAAATTATATCCAAGGCTTTCTAGGAGGTTTTTCTCAGTGTAGTTTATTTTTAATTATGGTCCCCATTCATAAAAGTGTGATATGCCATTTTACCAGTTTCTGTATTTTATATCCCTGTTATATTTTTGTTTTAGGTGTTTTGCATTATATTTATAACCACATTGCTATCTTAATGAATTGCACTGTTGTTTGGTATTTTTTAGTTGTTCTTCCTAACCTAAAATCAGAAGATACACCTTGCCTTCTTTCTATAGACCTATTTCATGTTTTGGTAAGTATTCAATAAAATTTCTTAAAGTCTCTCAAGTTTATAATTTCATTTGTTTTCCTCATTCAAGTTCATGTTCTTTATTCAAGATTATAAATTATTGGTGTTCAGATTATGAAATTTAGTCTCTTCTCCATTCTGTTTAAAATAGGGATTTGAATGAGACCATCAAAACCACTTTTTTTTTTAATGTTTATTTATTTTTGAGAGAGAGAGAGCACGAGCAGGGGAGGGACAGAGAGAGAGACACACATAATCCACAGCAGGCTCCAGGCTCTGAACTGTCAGCACAGAGCACGATGCAGGGCTCAAACTCACAATCTGTGAGATTATGATCTGGGCCCAAGTCAAACGCTTAACCGACTGAGCCACCCAGGCACCCCTCAAAATCACTTTACAAGTGAAAGCACATTTACTCTTTATTTTGTAGTTGTTGTCCTAGTTGATTATATTGAGTTGGTATCTGTCCAAGCAGACTTTTTAAAATATATATTGTGCTTTCTTCCTCCCCCCTTTTCTTAACTTGTTTATATTATAAGCAGTAAATGACAGTATGAGCTGTCTTAAATTAAAATCATTGATCATTTGGTGATGGGTACCAGGCCATTGACATATCTGGGCTTCTCCCAAACACCTATGGATAGGTGGCAACTGTTTTATGAGTTTCTTGCAGAGCTTTTCCAGCCCTACTATGATTCCATTCCTTCAAAATGAGTCCCCTAAAGAGATTGTTGGTGCGGTTGGGAGTATGGAATCTATGGATACAAGATTAGTCAGTGTCCCCCATACCTCATTGTTCAGGACTATGCCCAGTGGTTGTCACTCCCATCTTTTGGAACCTTTTGGGGAAACTTTGGAAGGAATGCTGGTAAATAGGCTCTATACCCTGAGATTCTAATTTGATTGGACTAGTCTGTGTATCGGTGTTCTTTTAAGAGCTCCCCATGTTATTGTAATATTGAATCTTCTCAACCACAGGATTGAGACCACTGCCTAGAAAAAGAAGTTTCAGCAAAGGGATAACCTGTTAGGTGATGACTTTTGTTCTCCATTTATGGTACACTATATTCTAAGATATTCTATTGAATAATTAGGGAAAATGTTGTGGCTAGTTATAAAAAGAAACCCACACAGGGGCGCCTGGCTGGCTCAGTCAGTAGAGCATGTAACTCTTGATCTCAGGGTCATGAGTTCAAGACTATTTTTTTTTTTTTCAACGTTTTTTTATTTTATTTTTGGGACAGAGAGAGACAGAGCATGAACGGGGGAGGGGCAGAGAGAGGGAGACACAGAATCGGAAACAGGCTCCAGGCTCTGAGCCATCAGCCCAGAGCCTGACGCGGGGCTCGAACTCACGGAGCGCGAGATCGTGACCTGGCTGAAGTCGGACGCTTAACCGACTGCGCCACCCAGGCGCCCCATCAGGGTCATGAGTTCAAGCCCCACATTGGGTGCAGAGATTCCTTAAAAATAAAATATATAAAAAACAAGAACAAAAAAAACCCACACACGAGCACAGAGCATCTGATGCTCTGTACTTTGAGATATGAGATTAGCTTGCACTGGTCTTTGTCGTCACTCATGTTGATATCTGTTTTCTCTTATAGGTTGGTGCTGTGTTAGCATTTCCATCCTTGTATTGGGATGACACTGTTGATCTGCAGCCTTCATCAATTAGTTCCTCGTATAACCACCTTTATCTCTTCCATTTGATCACCATGGCACACATGCTTCAGATCCTTCTTACCATAGACACAGGTAAAGCTCACATCAGTTAACTATAAAATAAATAACATTTGCCCATGGTTTATTGGCAAAATTAATTATGCATGCAATTAGTCATATCACATATTTCAAAGTTCTATGTTATTTCTCTTGTTGAATGATCATTTATTTGTTTATTTATGGATGTTGTGTTTTTTTATTTTTTTAAATTTACATCCAAATTAGTTAGCATATAGTGCAACAATGATTTCAGGAGTAGGTTCCTTAGTGCCCTTTACCCATCTAGCCCATCCCCCCTCCAACCACCTCTCCAGTAACCCTCACTTTGTTCTCCATAATTATGAGTCTTTTCTGTTTTGTCCCCCTCCCTGTTTTTAATATCATTTTTGTTTCCCTTCCCTTATGTTCATGTGTTTTGTCTCTTAAAGTCCTCATATGAGTGAAGTCATATGATTATTGTCTTTCTCTGACTGACTAATTTCACTTAGCATAATACCCTCCAGTTCCATCCACGTAGTTGCAAATGGCAAGATTTCATACTTTTTGATTGCCAAGTAATACACCATTGTATATATATACCACATCTTCTTATCCATTCATCCATCGATGGACATTTGGGCTCTTTCTGTACTTTGGCTATTGTTGATAGTGCTGCTCTAAACATTGGGGTGCATGTGTCCTTTTGAAATAGCACATTTGTATCCCTGGGATAAGTACCTAGTAGTGCATTTGCTGGGTCGTAGGGTAGTTCTATTTTTAATTTTTTGAGGAACCTCCATACTGTTCTCCAGAGTGGCTGCACCAGCTTGCATTCCCACCAACAATGCAAAAGAGATCCTCTTTCTCTGCATCCTCGCTAACATCTGTTGTTGCCTGATTTTCTCATGGATTTTCTTAATAATTGTTCTTTTCTCTAACTTACTTTATTGTAAGAATACAGTATATAACACACAAAATATATAACATGTAACATACATATATAATGTTATACAAAATACGTGTTGGGGCGTCTGGGTGGCTCAGTTGGTTAAGTGTTCGACTTCAGCTCAGGTCATGATCTCACGGTTCGTGAGTTTGAGCCCTGCATCGGGCTCTGTGCTGACAGCTCGGAGCCTGGAGCCTGCTTCAGATTCTGTGTCTCCCTCTCTCAAAAATGAATAAACTTAAAAAAAATTTTTTTTTTAAATGCATGTTAAGTGACTCAATATCTTATCAGTAAGGCTTTCAGTCAACAGTAGCCTGTTAGTTACTGGAGAGTCAAAATGTATAGGTAGATTTTTGGCTATGCAGGATGTTGGCACCCTTAACCCCCATGTTGTCCAAGGGTCAACTGTATATGACATTCTGGAAAAGGCAAAGCTATGGAGACAGTATATCAGTGATTACCAGAGGTTGGGGGGGGGGGGGCGGCGGCGCGGGGAAAGAGTGGTGAATTTGGAGAGCACAGAGGATTTTGAGGGCAGTGAAACTACTCTGTATGATACTGTAACAGTGGCTACATTTCATTTGTGAAGACCTACAGAATGTACAATACCAGGATGAACCCTAATGTAAACTGTGGACTTTGAATGATAATGATGTGTCAGTATAGGTTCATTGATTGTAACAAATGTACCACTCTAGTGCAAGCTGTTGATAGTAGGGCAGGTATCTGGAAACTCAGTGCTTTCCTCTCAATTTTGTAATGAACCTAAAACTGCTTTAAGAAATAAAGTGTCATTTTTAAAAATCTTGTTACATGGGTGTGTGCATTTGTCAAAACTCATCAAATGGTACATTTATTGTTTGTGTATTTCACTGCATGTAAAATTCACTTCAGTTGTGCAAATATTAAACATATTTAAATTGGAAATATCAATATGAATCCATGATATATTTTCCTTTTTTTTAAAAAAGTGTGTTTTTCCTAAAGAGATCTTAACTGAAAGGAGAAGAACTAGCAATATCCAACCAAAGTAAGAGACACAGGGTAATTTTAATTGTCTTTCAGATGAATTAATGTATATATATATTTTAAGTATTTTTAAAACAAGAGAGCACTATTCAAATAGGATGTAACCATCCATCACATTGAACTACAATGTTGGCATTTTTATACCCATTTTAATATGATAAAACTGAAGTTCAGAGAACTTAAGTGTCTTATCCAGAACTTTAACCTAAGTGAGTGAATTAGCAAATTGGTGGAAAGGTTTAGGATGGTCCTCCTTAAGGATAGATTAATGAAGGAAATTACCTTACAATGTTCTTCTTAATGTGTTGCTTGAGAGTAAAGGCAGGATAGCAACCTACTTCCTTTTCTAGAAGCTGAATTTCTACCTGTTAGCTAAGACTCCTAGGAATGCAAAGCAGATAGATGACCACTAATTTGTTTACCTGGTCATATTACAGTGAGATAAGCATTTATTTAACATCCATGTGATTCTGCCCTATTTGTTTCTTCATCTAATATACTGATAAAGTTTACCTAAGAGGGTTTTTTTTTAATGTTTATTTTTGAGAGAGAGAGAGAGAGCGAGAGAGAGCGAGTGAGTACGTGCACGCAAGCGGAGGAGGGGCAGAGAGAGGGAGACACAGAATCTGAGGCAGGCCCCAGGCTCTGAGCTATCAGTACAGAGCCTGACACAGGGCTCAAACTCACGAACCATGAGATCATGTCCTAAGCTGAAGTTGGACCCTTAACTGACTGAGCCCCCCGGGCGCCCCTTACCCAACAGTTTTAATATTTAGAATCAACCATTTAGATTGAGAAAAAGGAAAAGGGCCTCAGTTGAGTTGACATTGTTTATTATCCTGACACCATGATATTGAGGTGTAATTAATACATTGAATAGCAAACTCATAGATTTATCTTTCAGAATTTCTTTTTCAGACCTCCCCCTTGCTCAGGTTCAAGAAGAGAGTGAAGAGGCTCGTTCTGCATCTTCTTTCTTGGCAGAAGTTTCTCAATATACAAATGGGTGAGTAGCAGTTCATTAGTTCAACCTATTTCAGTATTGTTTTAATAATTCCACCACTTTGTTCATTTGTTTGGCACAATAACTTTTGAACCATTTTAATTCCAGTTTTTAAAAATCAGTTAAGAGCTTTTGGAGTTACAGCTACCCATTTGTTTGTTTCTGAGACTGAAACAAGTTTTGATACATCTTTACTCTTATAAACTGTTCTTTACTCTTATTATAAAGAACAGTTTTGATACATCTTTACTTCTGTAAAACTGTTCTGGGAACATAGGCCAAAGATAATAAAATTTTAACAAATGGCAGCATTTAGAATTTAAATAAATGTACAAAATAGAAAATAGGTCATCCATTTAAAGCAATCTATACAGTTGATACGCTTAACTAACTAGAGATTTTTTTTTTTATGGCTTTTATGTAACATGTGAAATATATTGGCGATGCAAAGGCTAAAATCAAAAGTATAATAAGAGTGCCCCACTGAGCTCTACATGCTGCCAAACTCTCCCCTCTTTGCTTTCATCTTCTTCATCAATTTTTATTTAAGTTTTCTGTTTTGTTTTGTTTTTTAGTTAGGTACTGAAGAGAGAGGAAGAGGGAGGGAGGGAGAGGGAGAGAGAGAGAGAGAGAGAGAGAGAGAGAGACAGTGTGTGTGTGTGTGTGTGTGTGTGTGTGTGTGTGTGTTACTAGACTTTATTTTTTAGAGCTGTTTTATTAGGCTTAGGCTTACAGAAAATTTAAACAGAAAGTACATAACGTTCCTGTATACTCCCTCCCCTCACCAGTTTCTCCTGTAATTAACATCCAGCCTTCAGTGTGGTAGATTTGTTAAAGATGATAAAACAGTATCAATACATTGTTGTTAACTAAAGTCCATAGTTTACATTAGGGTTCACTCTTTGTGTTGTAACATTGCAAGTATGATATAGAGTACTTTTCACTGCTCTATGAATCACCAACTTTAATACAGAAATCAAGAAAGTATTAATTTTTTTTAGCTAACTTAACTGATTTGGTTAGTTATTGATAAATATATCTGATTCACATTTCATCATAAGGGTTAGGATAAAGAAGAAAATAGTTATTTGCTTTAAAAATTTACATGGTAGGGGCATTCACTTTCATATGCCCCCTCTCTGTAAGGAGCTTTCATACTATTCTTACTCTTATACTCTAATAAACTTTTGCCTGCCCCTCATTTAAAAATTAATTAATGATTATTAATATTATTAATAATTATTACATATTGCTAATCCTAATATAAATAATTGATTTATTTTTTAATTAAATAAAATAAAAACCTACATGGTAAAAGATACAAGATTTGTGGTTTTATTTAGGAAACTTTCAGAAGATTTAAATATAGAAGCTATTGCCAGTTAAATATTATGTTTTAAATGTTTAAAAATTAAATGGATAAAAAATTATTTAAATACTTAGCTATGTTTTTAAATGAGGATGTGTTTAAAGTCCAGCGGTTTAGTCTGATCAGTATTCTGTTCTGTTCTGGAATTATTGCCTCTTAGCTGCATTGGGTGTGGTATTCCTGGCTGGTATTTGTGGGTCTCATTGAAGAATGGTATCACCCCTTACCTTCGCTGTGCTGCCTTGTTTTTCCACTATTTACTTGGAGTAACTCCACCTGATGAACTGCTGACAAGTAAGTAGGAAAGTGAAATCTCAGAATAGGATATAATAGATATTTTTTCTTACCTTCAACCTCAAAAATACAAGGTGAGGGCAAAACTACTTTTCTGTTCTCTGCCTCTTTCATCAATGTTCACTGTCAACATGTGTGCCCCTGCTGTGGTATGGGCTGAAGGTGAGACCAAAAATGAGATTAGCTTCATAATATGCAAAACCTACTCAGGACTCCTATCTATGTATAGTTGATGTACTTGAGCTTATAAAATGTCTACACACAGAATATAACTGTTAGGATATGCAAAAAATTAGGAACATTGGTTGCATTTAGGGAAGAGAACAATTTGGTTAAGTAGGAGGAAAATGATATTTTATACTCCTTATTTGACTTTTGAACATATAACTACTACAAAAGAGGTAAAATGCTGCTAGGAAAGGCCTGTTGTAACAAAGTGAGGATATGTATGTTTGAGTACCAGTCATTTCCTTTCTTCTTTACTTGCCTTAAATCTAGATCAAAGTAGACAAGGCTTTCTTGTTCTTTTGTATGGGTAAAAATCAGAACATTTGTATGATTTTGGAAGCATCACCAAAATTGTTTAGAGATTCTTGCTTTTGTTCTTTGAGATTAAGCTGAACAGGTCAGCTTTATTGGCTTTCAGCTTCTGTATCTTGAACTCAGTTCAGCAGGGTTTATTTGATCTAGTTTGTTGTGATTCTATACACAGGCATACCTTGTCATATTGCACATTGCCTTATTGCACTTTGCGGATACCGCATTTTTTACAAATTGAAGGTTTGTGGCAACCCTGCGTCAAGGAAGTCTGCCAGTGCCATTTTTCCCACAGCATTTGCTCACTTCATGTTTGTGTCACATTTTGATTATTCTTGCAATATTTCAAACTTTTTCATTATTATTATATTTGTTAGGGTGATCTGTGATGATTGATTATGACTGGCTGAAAGGCCAGATGATGGTTCGCAGTTTTTAGCAATAAAATATTTTTTAATTAAGGTATGTACATTTTTGTTTTAGGCATAATTCTGTTGCACACTAAATAGACTACAAATAGTAGAAGCGTAACTTTAATAATCACTGGGAAGCCAAAAATTCACTTGACTTGCTTCATTGCAATACTCGCTTTATTGTGGTGGTCTAGAACTGAACTGGTATGCCTGTAAATGGGGTGCTACTTCCCACGTAGTTGTTTTTTTGCATTTTTAAAAAATCATGTATTAATTTATCTAGATGGTGCTGTAATACCAGGTAAGAATAATGTGCTTACTAAATGTATTGTTATTCTCTTGCAGATCCTGCAGAAGGAGAATACAGTGCACTCTGTAGCTATCTATCTTTACCCACAAATTTGTTCCTGCTTTTCCAGGAATATTGGGATACTGTAAGACCCCTCCTCCAGAGGTACTATGAGGGCAAAATGTGACTGTTGGGTTATTATACTGTTGTGTTCCTAATTCACACACTCAAGGAATTGGAGACAAGTCCAGCAGCCATGGGCAGCTGGAATTTCCGCTTGTCCCACCATAATTACCGTTCCTTGTACTACTCTTCCCTAAAGCTTCCGTTTCCTATAAATCATCAGGCAGGCTGGGCAGCAGGGGGAGGTGGTCATGTTGTCAGCAGCCACATAGTCACAACTAAATATCAAAAGAAACAAAATTGGGGCTCTGTCTAAAACAGTAGCATATCTCACATGGTAGCGCACATCTCAGGAGGGTGCCTGAGGGGGATTAAAAAAGTCATTTGGTGAATCAAAATGTATCAGTTAAATTTCCCTGAGAGAGGTGGGTCTTTTTTTGAGAAAAACTTTCTTTCTACCTCATCATTTCTGGCCCTCCTGATCACTGTCTACCCTCCTAACCTCTAGTGTCCTTCCCTATCTTTGCTTCCACAATTTCCATCTTTTTTTTTTTTTTTGAGATATAATTGACATGTAGCATTGTTTTAATAATTAATTCTCACTGTTACTCTTACTTTATTTCCTCCATTACAGATTCTGACACCCAGTGTTTGGGGTGTTTGGGGAGGATGTCTTGGCCACATATCCAACAGGCATTTCTCTGACACTGGCTGGGTATCCAACAATTCACCTCAATCCTACACTGTCTACCTGGAGATAGCATCAGATCCCACAGGTTAAGGGCTCATTGCTATAGACTGGCATGCCTACATACAGACACATTTCAGACAGCTTCTACTAGCAAGTCCAAGGTTGTCACCTGTGCTCCTGACCCAATGGCTATAGAACAGAGGCTCCACTGACCCCTCCTTGGGTTCAGTTAATTTGCTAGAGCAGCTCACAGAACTCAGAGAAACATTTTACTTACTAGATCACCAGTTTACTCAGGAACAGCCAGGTGGAAGAGATGCACAGGGAAAGGGAGCCAAGATTGCATACTCCCTAAACACACCACCCTCCCCAAATCACCACGTGTTCACCAATGTGGAAGTTCTCCAAATCCTGTCCTGTTGGTGATTTTGGAGGCTATATTACATAGGCATGGTTGATTAAATCAGTGGCCATTAGTGACTGATTCAACCTCCAGTCCCTCTTTCCTCCATGGTGGTTGAAGAAGCAGAGCTGAAAGTTCCAATCTTCTGTCGCATGTTTGGTTCTCCCAGTACCCAGCCCCCATCCCTAGGAGGGATCCTAAAACACACCTTTGTTGCTGTCATCACTTAGGAAATTCCCTGTGCTGGGAACTGGGTTGAAGACTAAATATACATACTTATTATTATAAATCACATGATCACACGCATGATTTCCTTTATTTTTTCAATTTTCTGCCTTTACCTTTCTCCTTTTTCTTTCATTAGTGTTTCTTTCTCCGTGTCCATGTCAGGATTTGTGTGAATGTCTGCTTGTCTCCTGCCACATTTTCTGTGCTCTCATCTCTTCTGTTAGGTTCTTTTTTTGTGTATCTTCATTTCTTATGAGGGGTTCTAATCTCCAGTGTGATTAAAAATGAATTAAAACAGATCTTTAAAAATTAGCATCATGCTTTGTGTTGAGTACAATCACAGTAGGTTATACTGACTTTACTTGTATGTTGTTGGAGTCAATACATTTTAAACTTACTCTTCTAGGTTAATGACAAAAATTCAAACTTTGTAACAGAATGTCCTTGCACTTTGTACCATTCCTGCAGAGCCTCCCCTTATCCTCTGCTCAGAAGTACAGGGGACTGAGACTTGCAAGCCGTATTGCCTAGTCTTTCTTGTCAGTTGGCATCTGCCTGTATTCAGCCTGGGGGAGGCAGTAATAGGGTATTGGAAGCGAGGAGGAAGAGAGAAGCCTGAGTGTTCAGGCCACCTCTCTCTGCTTTGTGGGGTATGTCTGGCCAGTGACTGTAGCTCTTCTCTGGCTCTAGTTCCCATCAGCCAAGTCTCCGGTAGTTCCAGTATCCATCAGTGACCCTAGCCCCTCGTTTCTAGTAATACCACAATTTCCTTTCGTTCCTCCATCCTGGGAGAGGCGGTGGCTTCCTGTTACTGGCTAATCTTTGGGTCACCTTGTGTTTTTATCTCCTGGTTGGCTTTGCAGCCCTTCTGTCATCTTTGTTACCAATTCCTGGTATTAAATTCCCTCTTCAGAATGGTTTCTGTTTTTGTAGTAAGACCTTGATTGATAAGCCCTTAAAAAAAGAAATCAATAACAGAAAGGGGACAAAATAAATAGGCAGACACAAAAACAAAGAGAAGGAAAGCAAAGGAGCAAGATTGTAGAAGTCTAGTGGAGGGAACATGGAAAGAAAGGACAGATTTGGAGAGGGTGGCTCACTCATGAACACTTTGCTGAAGTTTTGATGACCTGTTTGCTTTTCTCTTGGCTCTCCATATAGGTGGTGTGCAGATCCTGCCTTACTAAACTGTTTGAAGCAGAAAAGCACCATAGTCAGGTTGGTTTTACTTCTTAGTCCTTTCCTACAGGTTGTGTTTCCAAAAATAGTTGGTTTGCTGAATATGATTTCTAGTCTGTCTTCTTCATTCTTACTCAGTACATTGTTTCCTGCGTTTCTCTTAGGTCTTTGCCAGAATTCAGATTCTTCCTGCAATTGATTTTTTTCTTGGAGGGACTGTCCTTTCCCTCTTAAATTGTTTAACTCCACCAGCTCCTCTTTCTTAAACGTGTACATGCATATTAAAAGGCACAGGAGGAGATGGCATCTTGGAGCTGCTGGTATATTACAATCAGAGGGTAGTGACAGTATTCCTGTACAACATTTTTTTCCTTTTGAGAATAGAGTAAGATATAAATAGAACTATTCCCTTTACCCCTTCCCTTCCTATCTTTATACTTAGAGACTACCCAACAAAATTTTCTTCAGCCCTCCTGTGTTCTTTAAGTTATGGCTCAGTCATAATCCACCTCTTCCTCAAGGACCAATTCAAATCTGACCTCATCCCACAAGTCTCTCCTAATACACCCTCTCATATGTGTGTGTGCATGCGTACCTGCCAGCACCATAAAGCACTCAACAATAAGTTCAATAAGGCCAGATTGCATGCTTGTTTTCTTTGTATCCCACCAGGGCCTGCTTTATGTTTTATGTGTCTAATTTTTATTCAAATTGAATTGCTTCAGTAAACAAGCAGAGTAATTGACCCCTAGCCTTAAATGCTAACATCAGTAGTACCATTTTTCCATGGCCAAAGCAAACATTGTGACACAAAGTGCATATGCCACCTTCTATTCTCATCTTTTCTCACTCTTTCAAATTCTTTAGCCTTCACTGTAAATGTGCATATGCTGCCTACCCCTTAACCCCACTTTAGTGGTTTAGAGATTACAGAGCAGCTTTTATAACTTAGATAGAGTAGTATTCACATCACCAAGAAAAGAAAGAGTAGAGAGAAAAGTTTAAAAGATGAGTACAGGGGTGCCTGGGTGGCGCAGTTGGTTAAGCGTCGGACTTCAGCCAGGTCATGATCTCGCAGTCTGTGAGTTCGAGCCCCGCGTCAGGCTCTGGGCTGATGGCTCGGAGCCTGGAGCCTGTTTCCAATTCTGTGTCTCCCTCTCTCTGACCCTCCCCCGTTCATGCTCTGTCTCTCTCTGTCCCAAAAATAAATAAATTTTAAAAAAATAAATAAATAAATAAAAATAAATAAATAAAAGATGAGTACATATTTTAGGACTGTTACTCTCACACAATTTTTCCTTTATTTCAGTTCATTATGTGCCTTTTATTTATTTTATTTAAAAAAATTTTTTTAACATTTATTCATTTTTGAGAGACAGAGACAGAGTATGAGCGGGGAATGGGCAGAGAAAGAGGGAGACACAGAATCTGAAGCAGACTCCAGGCTCTGAGCTGTCAGCACAGAGCCCGACGTGGGGCTTGAACTCACGAACTGCAAGATCATGACCTGAGCCAAAGTCCGACGCTCAACTGACTGAGCCACCCAGGCGCACCTCATGTGCCTTTTAGACACCTACTATTTCCCCAGCATGGTTCTAAAATACTTGGGGAGAATTAAAAGACCTAACACATACAGCTTTTTGGTCATGGGTAATTTATAATCAAATTATGTACATAAACTAAAAACATAAAGTGTAATAGTATATGGAATGTACTGTTAATGCTATAGAAATTTAAACAGTAGAAGATTTTTAATGATGCCAGGTTACTCTTGGAGAAGATAATTTTTAGCTGAACATAGAAGGAATTACAGAATTTAAGTTGATTGTGGTTTGAGGATAGAATGTCCATGTTATTCAGATATTCTTCTTCATGGCATTCATGCAAGGCTTTTATCGTATTATATTGTAAGAATGAAGAACATTTACAGACATGTATCAAGTACTAAGTACATTATGTTCCACTTCAGTATCTTATTGAGTCCTCAACAGCTCTATGAGTTTCCTTGATTCTATTATTTATATTTGACATTTCTTAAATCAGCATGAGTCTTTTATATTTCTTCCCCCCACCTCAAAAATTTATTATTAAATTGATAGTGTGCCTTATGACTTGAGAAAGTATAATATATTCATCCTCTAGTTTACAGACCATGAAATACAGGCTTGGGTTCAGTGACTTGTTAGATACTAGAGAATTTAGGATTTGTAGCTGCGTCTGATTACAAAGCCTGTGTATCCTTAACAACTTTTTTATATTACCTTCCTAGCCATTATGGAAATCTAGCTAGAACAATTTAGTCTTCAGGAATAGTGGAGGTTGAGTTTGGAAAGGAAACCAGCTGATGAAAGATTTGGAATTTTAGGCTCAGATGCTTGGATTTAATGTTGTCAACAGGGGGAATTACTATGGGGTGCAAGTATGGGTTCTTTTGTTATTTTTAAGACATTCTTCCTTCTGTTACTTAGTTGGTTTTTGACATGGGTTTATTTACTCTTAAGTAAAATTGTCGTTTAAATTATATTTCTAGATACCCTAGAAAAAGAAATAGTTTGATAGAGCTACCTGATGACTATAGCTGCCTCCTAAATCAAGCTTCTCATTTCAGGTAAGAAGAAATATTTTTTAAAAAAATTTTAAGCTTGTAATTGGTATGCACCACCACTAGCTAACTTTTTAAAAATTGACCACTTAGCATCTTTTATAACAGTGATTGCTGATTTCTTTTTTATTATTGAGGTGAGATCCACAAAACATACAGTTAATGATGACAAAGTATACAATTCAATACAATTTAGTGTCTGCACAATGTTGTGCAACCACCACCTCTCTCTAGTTTGAAAACTTTTTCATCATCCCGGAGAAACACCTTGTATCCACTAAGTAATCACACCCCATTTCCCTCTTTCCCAGTCCCCTGGTAATCAATAATCTGCTTTCTGTCTCTATGAATTTGCCTACTCTCTATATATCATATAAAAGGTATCATATGATTTTTTGTGTCTTGCTGCTTTCACATAGTATAGTTTTTGAAGTCCATCCAAGTTGTAGCATGTATTCGGCCCTTTCTTGGCTAAATAATATTCTACTGTAGGGATGCCTGGCTGGCTTAGTCGATGGAATTTGAGCCCCCTGTTAGGTATAGCTATTACTTAAAAATAAAATCTTAAATATTCCATTGTATGCATATACAGAGTTTGTTTATGCATTTATCCATTGATGAGCACTTAGGTTGTTTCTCTCTTTTGATTATTATGAATAATGCTACTGTAAACATTCATGTACAAGTTTCTATGTGGGCATATATTTTCATTTTTCTTATATATATTCCTAGGAGTAGAATTATTGGGTCATTATGGTAATTCTATGTTTAACTCTTTGAGTTGCCAGTAAGCAGTTTTCCATAAATGGCTGTCCCATTTTACATTTCCATCAGCAGTGTAAGTTTTGAGAGAGAGAGCACATGAGGGGCAGAGAGGGAGAGAGAGAGACTATCAAGCAGGCTCTGCTCTGTCAGTGCACAGCTCGACATGGGGCGTAAACTCATGAACCATGAGATCATGACCTGAGCTGAAATCAAGTTGGATGCTTAACCACCTGAGCCACCCAGGTGCCCTAATACACATTTTCTAAATGACCACTGATGTTGAACATCTTTTTATGTGCTTTTTGGACATTTGTGTATGTTCTTTGGAGAAATGCCTGTTCAAGCCCTTTGCCCATCTTGTAATTGGACTGTCTGTTTTGTTGTTGAGTTGTAAGATTTCTTTATACTGAAGGGGAAGGAGACTCTTCCTTTCTTCCCTCTCTGTTCCTCCCTCTCTGTTCTTCCCTCTAGTCAAATAATTAAATTGACATAAGACAGAATAATATGAGAGGGATGCCTGGGCAGCTCAGTTGGTTAATAAGCATTTGACTTCAGCTCGAGTCACAAACTCAGTTTATGAGTTTGAACCCTGCATCAGGCTCCATGCTGACAGTGTGGAGCCTGCTTGGGATTCTCTCTCTCAGATTAATAGGAGAAAAACCAATTTAATTTCATATATATGGGAGATCACAGAGATACGTGACTCAAAGAAGAAACTAGGTTTATACTTTATAGTTAAAGAAACAATTATTTGTGAAGATTTGACAAAACAAAGGAGTTTACACTTAGAGTACCAAATTAATGAAGAAGTAAGAGAGTTTATATATACAGCCTTCTTGACTTTGATTTCCCTAACTTTGGCAGTAAGGGTATTTTCTATCCTTCTGGTATAGGGAGGATACCTTCACATGGGAGATTTATTTCCTGCTTTCAGGAGAACGAAAGAGGTGTCAGAGTGTCCTTTTTGCATCTGCTGTTTCTTAAGTAACTTTAATTCAAAATAATCATTATGCCAAAGCAGCATACTTTGGGGTGGCCTATTCTGTTCTCTTTCAGTCTATTCTTAATAGTTTTATAGTTTAGTTCTGTATTTAAGCTGTGGATCTGTTTTGAGTTAATTTTTGGAATAAAGCAGGAAGTCCGGCTTCATTCTTTTTTTTTTTTTTCATGTGGTTTCCACTTATCACAGCACCATTTTTTAAGAGACTATTCTTCCCTTATTGGATAGTCTTGGCACCCACGTTGAAAATCAGTTGGTCAGTGATGTTTGGGTTTCTTTCTAAATCCTAAAGTCTGTTCCATTGGTCTCTATGTCTGTCTATCCTTATGCTAGTACCACACTTTTAAGTTACTATAGCTTTGTAAAAGAAGTTTTAAAATTGTTACATGTGAGCCTTCCAACTTTTTCTTTTTCAGTGTTGTTTTAATTATTTGGGGCCCCTTGCAGTTACATACAAGTATGAGGATTGGCTTTTCCATTTCTGCAAAAAGGCAGTTAGAATTTTAATAGAGATTAAATTAATCCTATAGATTACTTTGGGGAGTATTGCCATCTTAATAACATTAAGTACTCCAGTCCATGAACATGGATGCCTTCCCATATTTAGACCTTCTTTAATTTCTTTCTGCAGTATTTTGTAGTTTCCAGTGTACAAGTCTTGCCCTCTTTGGTTAAATTTATTCCTGGATATTTTAGTATTTTGGATGCTATTGTGAATGAAATTATTTATCTTTTTTTTTAAGTTTATTTATTTATTTTGAGAGAGAGACCATGCAAGTGGGGGAGTGGCAGAGGGACAGGAAGACAAAGAATCCCAAGCAGACTCCGCACTGTCAGCATGGGGCCCAACATGGGGCTCAAACTCATGAAACCGTGAGATCATGACCTGAGCCAAAACCAAGAGTCAGACACTTAACCAACAGAGCCACCCAGGCGCCCATGCAATTATTTTTCTTAATTTCCTTTTTGGATTGTTCCATTGCTGGTGTATTGAAACACAGTTGATTTTTGTGTGTACCCTACAACTTACCTGGGTATCCATAGGGATTACGGTTAACATCCTAAATTTATTTTTTTTTTTAACATTCTAAATTTCGTTTGACTTGACAACATCATAGTTTCAGCTGCATAATTAACTGTTCCTTTCTAATTTTTTCTCCCTTCTTTATGTCGTTGAGGTCACAGATTACATTTTTATGCGTTCTGTGCGTGTTAATGTAGATTTATAATGATGGTTTGTTCATTTGTCTTTTAAATAATATAGTAAACAAAAAAAGAGGAGTCATTTTTCCAAAGTTATAATAATACTAGCTTTTATACTTACATGTGTAGTTAGTTTTACCAGTTATCTATATTTTTTTTATATGGCTGCAAGTTGCCATTGGTGTTTTTCTGTTTTGGCTTGAAGGACTCCCTTTATTACTTCTTGTAAGACAGGCCTAGCAGCGATGAACTTCCTTAGCATTTGTTGGTCTGGGAATGTCTTCATTTCTCCTTTGTTTTTAAAAGATAGTTTTGGCAGATGTAGAATTCTTAGTTGACAGCTTTTTTTCTTTGAGGACATTACATGTATCCTACTGCCTTCTAGCCTCCATGGTTTCAGCTGTTAATTTTATTGAGGATTCCTTGTATGTGATGAATTGTTTTTCTTGCTGCTTTCAAGCTTCTTTCTTTGTCTCTCTGACTTTTGACGGCTTGATCATAATATGTCTTCTGTGTGAATCTCTTTGAATTTGTCCTGTTTGTAGTTCAGTTTCACTCCTGACATGTAAATTCATGTTTTTCAACAAATTTGAGGAGTTTGGGCCATTATTTCTTCAAAAAAATATTTTTTCACTTGCTTCTCCTTCTGTGACTCTCACAATATGTGTGTATGTTGGTATGCTTGATGGTGCCCCATAAATCCCTCTGTTCCTTTTTATTCATTCTTATTTCTTTCTGCTCCTCTTCCTCAGTAATTTTAACTATCCCATCTTAAAATTCACTGATTCTTCTGCCAGCTCAGATATGCAGTTAAAACCCCTTTAGTAGGTTTTTTATTTCAGCTGTTGTACTTTTCTATTTGTTTCTTTTTTTTATAATTTCTCTTTGCTGGTATTTCCTACTCTTTCATGTGTTTTCCTAATTTCCTTTAGTTCTTTGTCAATGGTTTCCATCAGCTCTTTGAACTCATTTAAGAGTTAATTTAGAATCTTTGATTATTAACAAGTGTCATGTCTGGGCTTCCTCAGGGATGATTTCTGTCAGTTTCTTTTTTTCCTGTGAATAGGCCATCATTTCTGTTTCTTTGTAAGCTTTGTGAGTTTTGGTGAGAACTGGACGTTTTGAATATTGTAATGTAGTAGCTCTGGAAATCAGATTCTACCCCCTCCCCTGGAATTGCCACTGTTACTTGATGAAGGCTGTAGTTGTCTGTTTGTTTAGTGACCAAACTGGTTTTTGCAGAGACTGTATTCCTTATTATGTGTTCACTGAAGTCTCTGTTCCATTTTTGCTGCCATCAGCCAGTGAACTGACAGATTTCCTTAAATTTCTGGATCCAATAAGAAAAAATATAAAGAATATTCTGTCTCTTTAAGTCCCCTCTGCCATCACCACCAAGGAAGTCCCTTCAGCCCATAGAAGTTGAAACAATAGCCAGTGTGTGTGTCAGCCCCTGAGTGAACTGCCAGGAAGAAGTAAACAACCCTGAGTTTTGAGGACAACCCTCATTTTTTTGAGGGGGTGGTAACCACTACACAAAAAGCCAAAATTTACTAAAATTTACCAGCCTCTTTCTTTGTTAAGCACTCCTGTGGATGCTGCAATGATCACCTAGATTCCAAGTTCCAAAATAGTTGCTTCAGACAGTTTTTGCCAGATCAACAGTTGTATTGGTAGAGGAACCAATTCCTGGAGCTCCTTACTCCACCATCTTCTATGACATCTCTCCTCAATTTTTTTTTTAAAGCTACAGGAGCCTTTTGTGTTTTTTTAAGCACTTGAAGAATCATTTATTCATGTATCTTTACATGTACAAGTGTGGTCAACACATCCATCCACTGAAATAACCCTGTTTTCAACTTCACAAACAAGTAGTTCTCTTAGAAATATCTTTTATATGTGTGTCTTTAAGCACTGTTTTATGTGCATTACAGTGAGCTGACCACATCCTCACTGAAATAACACTGAAGAACCCCCACTTTTTTTTTCCAAGCAAAATCTTATATGGAAGCCCATTATTACAGTAAAACAAATAATAGCACTGTGGCTCAGGTTTAAGCCTGATACTAGAGAGAGGAGTAAACCTCCTTAGCTTTGTGTGGCACCATGCCCCCCGCCACACACACACCTCAATCAGATTAAAACCTAATGTAAAACAGTGTTTCTTAGACCTTCTTTTATCTTCCTCTTCCTTTTCACTGATTATTTTCCAAAAAAAAAATCTGGATGATAAAGACTGGTGAGAAGTAAAATACACTAGTTACATTATACTCATTACTAATATCATGTATGAATTACCCATTAGTTACCTTTGTAAGAAAATAGCATGACCTTAAATACCTTATTCTGTATGATAAAATAATATCCTATAAAGTAACAGTTTACACTTGCTAAATATGACATAAGTTATTCAAATAGCATAAATTCATGAGCTACGTACCACCGATGTAATGTCCCTATAGAAATTCTGTTGATATCTGCCTTAACCATTGGTGTGTGAATATTTCATATTTGAATCACAATGCATCATGTCTTGGAAATAATAGGCCAAAATTCCAATAGGCCATAATTGATGCAATTATGTATCCTTGACACTCAGGTGGCATCACACCATCACCCATAGCAAATCAGATTAATAATGATGACATGAAATGAGCAGTAACTTGTAATTAGAAGGCAAGAATGTCAGCAGTCTGAAAATCAAAGCCTATTCGAGAATTCATTGCTGATGTACCAGCAACACAGCATCTTTTTCCTAAACTTCAGGGATTCCTAAGCTCAGTTAGGAGTTATGTAATATTAAGTAAGCATTGCACAGCTGCCAAACTTCTTAATAAACTTTAATTGGAGTTCTCAGAAAACACAAAGAATTCTTAAATTTTGTTTTAAGGATATCAATAATTCTAATGAACTGCCTTGGTGTGCAAAGTGACTATTATAGTCCTTAATCATAAGTTAAATAACTTGCTGTCATTTGAAGGGGCCAAAAATAGGGATTGCAGTGTATCATCATTTTTAGGGCTTGAAGAACCCAACGGTGGCGTACTCTGAGAATCACTACCCTACAGCATGACTGAGGAAATTCTCATATTCAGTTATAACCCCTGCTTTGAACCCTGAAGCCAGGGAGTTTAACTGGCCCAGCAGGGCCTTGGGCAGCCCATTCTCCAGTCTCTGTTACTAGATAGAACTCACCTTGGTATTAGCTACCTTGCTGCTTGTCTCATGCAGGTTAAGTTCAGCCACCTAAAGAAATGGTTGCATCATTTACCTCCCAGCCCTCAAAAAATTAGCTAGGTGATGTCAGAGATTGCATCCAGCTCTAAATTCAGTGATTCCCCTAATCTTAGGGCTGTATTGCTACCACAGAATCCCAGTGAATAAGTATTATCTTCCTGGCATTAAAGAGTATCACTGTTGGCTCTTAGGAGGATGTGAGAAAAGTGTTAGTCATTAATCACAGTGAAGATCCCCCTGGATGATATTACTACTTACTGGTTTCAAGTAAAAATGAAAGTAAATCTGGGGCGCCTGGGTGGCGCAGTCGGTTAAGCGTCCGACTTCAGCCAGGTCACGATCTCACGGTCCGTGAGTTCGAGCCCCGCGTCGGGCTCTGGGCTGATGGCTCAGAGCCTGGAGCCTGTTTCCGATTCTGTGTCTCCCTCTCTCTCTGCCCCTCACCCGTTCATGCTGTCTCTCTCTGTCCCAAAAATAAATAAACGTTG